AAATCACATTCGTGAGAGTCGAGGACCGCCTCCAGGCTCCTGTGAGCGGGAACCCACACGAAACTTGGTGGCTCCTCATCTTCATACAGCCAACGCATCTACCTCCAGGTCGCTGCGTGCTTGGATCTCGCATCGCACGCAGTTGGGCTCCACTGCTGTCCTTCTCTCACTAAACTCAGGTGGTCTGAAAACACTATCGCAGGGTGCCCAGCCACCTCGAGTGCCTTGAGGCCCGCATAGTGCTCCGCTCTAGGCACCGACTGCACCTGGCCTGGTAGCGCTCCAAAGATGGCTCGGATCACCATCCCTGAGACGTCTAATTCGACCACAAACCAGCCGCACCTCGTAAGTCCAGGTAGGGACGAGGCCTGGCCCGATCCGTCGGTGTAGACCTTCCGCCCCCACTGGCCCCGCCAATCCCCCCACCCAAGAACAGGATAGTCCTCTTCGGGAGGCGACGGAAAGGGCGGCAAAGGCGGCAGCCCAAAATTTAAATAGAATTCGCTCGACCCAGACTGACTCGAATACTTGTCGCGAATCGCAGCACGTCGCTCGACCACGTCATCGGGCAGAGCTTCATCTAAGGAGTCAAGCATGGCCTCGCAACCAAACCACTGGTGCGCTTCCGATCCTAGCTCCATCTGGCAAACAAAACAGTTGGGCGACCTACGAAGCTGGATGGATTGGAGGCGCTCTGGGGTCCAAACTCCTGCGGCCCATAGTGAGCGAAGAGCCCCTCTCCGACCTGCATCCTGAATTGAGAGCATAGCGTGCCTCATGGCACGCCTCCGGCACGTCCCCCCCTGGCTATTGGGCAAGTGCTGGAGCATACGATCGGTATGCCACCGACGTACACCTCCTTCGAGGAAGCGTCGCACGTCGCACGGGCAAGCCCGAAGCATGCCTATGTGCATGCCAAGGGCCGATACGAGCACAGGTAGGGGGAAGCCACCGACCACCCCGCGCGAGGCAGAGTGGCCCACACAGTGGCCACCGGGCCTCTGGCTCCAGCCCGGGTGGCACGATTCTGCATCTTATCCTTGACGTCATTCCTCCTCCCCATCCTCCTCCTCCTCCTCCTCCTCCTCCTCCTCCTCCTCATATTCTTCTTCCTCCTCCTCTTCCTCCAGGAGGGGAACGGGTCCTGATCCATGCCCGACGGAGACGGCCAAGGGGCCACTCGCCTGTCCCGCAGGAGAGACGCAAAACGGACTGCTGTCGGAATCGAGGCATCAGACATCGGGTCAAAGAGATCGTCCACCCGGGTCGCCGGGTGCAGGGTGAAACTGGACTCAGGATGGGCTCCACACATTCCTCCAGCGAAAGTTCTTAGCTCACGGATAGCGGTGTCAGAAATCCCCGCCACTCCAGCCCCGTGGCCCGCAGCTGGGAGGAGCCCCGTGCGCCAGAGAGACTTGACTGCCTCCCCCGTGGCGTTCTTAAAACCCCAAACCTTGCGCTTCCTAGCCATGATCGTGCGCAGCCTAGCTTTTTCTTGCACTCGCAAAACTCTGGATCCATGCATCTCATGGCCCAAGCTCCTCATGGCTTTCTTGGCTCCTATGCCGAGGGTCTCGATTGTACTTGCAAAGCGATCTCGGCCTCTGGCTGAGTTGGCAACGAATCCTGACTTGCTGGCTTGCACCACTAGCCCTGGAGGCCTCACCTCCTCACAGAAGGTGTGGACAGCATTGGTCAACTGTCTGGACTCGCCCCTTCCACGCCCCGCCCCCCGCCTCTCCCCCGACCAGTTTACACTCACATCATCGATCAGATCTCGTGGCCTGACCGAGGGGTGAAGTCTCACGGTGTTCTGAAGGCTCCTAAACAGCAGAACCTTAAGCACAGTGGTAGCCATGCTGCACCCAGCTAGAATACCCTGGTTGGAGGGAACGGGGTATGAAAGGGAGGGGAAAGCTCGGAGGCAACGGGGTTGAAGGTAGGTCTGAACGGTCATCCATGCTAGCCTCGTCGGAAATCCTACAACTCGGGCTACGTCTAAGAGACTCTGCAGCACGACCGTTTCGTAACATTTGAGCATATCAATGAATACTGTCAAGCTGTCTTCTCCTACTTCGTGCGCGATCTCGGCACCTAAATTCAGAGAAAAGGCACTGTCCGACGAGGACCTGCCAGCTCCAGCCCCCCAAAAGCACTCCAAATCATGAGAGAGCTCCCAAGCAGCCGCGATGGGCCGTCTAACCCTGCCCCAGACACGGAGGAGGGTGTTGAGGAGGGCGATCAAACGGCAACCCCCTGACGGTTTGGGGAGTCTTACAAGTTGGGTCAGGATTCTACTGGACGGCCAGAACAGGAGCTTTACACGCCCCATGAAAAGCTGAGCTAAAACTTCAAACCAACGTCGCTGAGGAACATCAGGCTCCTGGGGGCGAAACCAAACTGGCCGGTGCCAGTGGCCCAGGGAAATTGCAGAATCGCTCTTTTCAAATCAGCAACCTCGAGTGGCGGAAGCTCGCTCCAGTCGGCCGCGTCGGCTTGCGACCGTGGTGCTGGGGCATCGTGCATTGACCAAATCGTGTCCCACTGCCGCATCGCCTTGTCGGCTAGCGCGTGTGGCTGCACTGTGGTTCTCGCCAGCATATTCGCATCCACTACTTCTTGCAGGGCTTTCCCCCTCGCGTGACGGTGTGCGAATCTGGCTCCATTCTTAAACGCATTGGTCGCACAGGCACGCCAGGCTGCAGCTGACTTCTCAGACTGCTTGTCCACCAGCTCTGCGGCCTGGGCTTCAATGGCCCCCAACAAAGCGTCGGAGTCAGCAGCGAGGAATTCCATTCCCATCAAGAACACATCTGAGGCCCAAGGCTTAATGTCGGCCAGGACTTGGTGTTCCTTCAGAATCTTAAAGAAAAACCGACCGAGCTCTATCATGTGCTTCGCTAGCTTTCGATGGGACAATTCTTCAGCCATGCCAGCCTTCTGCTGGTGGCCGATCAACACCGTGAGATTGAGAATCGCCTCCTTTGACCTACGCATGTGTCGGGCCCATCTGGTCGCCATGTTCCACGAACGATCAGCTTGTGACATGTACTCTCGCCTGTCGTGAGGCTGCCACTGGAACTTCGTCATGACAAAGCTTATGGGGCCTCCAGCACCACGATAAGCTTCGCCTTTGACTCCGACTAAATCGTGTCTCCCATGTAGCTCTAATTCGATCTGATGCAGGACAGCATCCCATGCTACCTGCAACTCGTCATTACTGCTGGCCGATGACACAAGGGCCCTGACTCCTTCCCATCTCAACGGGAACCGAGGGCACCCAGGGGGAGGCTGCTTCGGCACTGACCTGGGACCATGTAGCTCCCTTCGAAAAAACTGGAGGTCACGGCCTGACAGGGGTAGGACTACTGGCAAATGCGGAAAAGTGGCTGCCGCTTCCTGCACTGTCGGCTGGCCCACTCTGGCCATTACATTTGCCGAGGTGAGGAAGAAATCAATGCGACGGCCAGGCAGGCTCTGGCGACAGGTCGTCGCCGCTGGTGCCCGCAGCATGCCTCCCAGGCCGTGCAGCCAGGACAGGTCGCCCATTCTCGGAGGGCTCCATGTTGAAGTCGCCAGCCGCTATCCAGTCGTACCCCGCGTAGTTGAGGCGCTCGACGTAGCTGCTGACCTCTTGCATAACGTAGATATTGTTGTCTGACCATCCTTCATTCACATACAGGTACACTGTGATGAGCACCAGACCACCAGGCACTCCCCAGTGCACTTGCGCTGGTAGTGCACGTCCGTCTGCCAGCGATCCCGCCGTCATGAATGGGGCTCGCGTAATCATCACCGTCGGTCTCGCCAGTATTGCCAGCCCTAACTGTGTCCCGCCAGCATTGCCTGACTCTTTGGCCTCCGACCAAACACCCTGCCAGCCCATCTCAGAAGCTCTGGCCTGGGCGTCGGCAAGAAGCGCGGCCGATATGTGGTGCTCTTGCAACATGACCACTGTGTGGGTGCATCCAAGCAAGAACTCCGCCATCTGCTTCTCCGTCGAGCAGTTGAGTGTGACTATTGTGCCCTTCTCGTGCTCGCCGAAGGCGTCGCCCCTCGGGGGGGCTGGGGCCGCGGTGGCCTCTCTGCTCGGGCTGCCACGTCCGTCGACGTCGCGAGCAGAACGAGCGGGTGGGGACGGGGCATCGGCCACCCGTGCCGTTCCGTTCCCTCCGTGCCGTTCCGTTCCTCCCTCCGTGCCGTTCCGTTCCTCCCTCCGTGCCGTTCTTCCCTCCGTGCCGTTCCCACGGAGGGACGGCCCCCTTCCCTCCGTGCCGTTCCGTTCCTCCCAGTCCTTTGCCCCCCCTCGACCGGGCGCCGCGAGCTGTGCAAAGATTGCGCCGGCGTGCGCAAATGTGCGGAGCCGGGATTCTCGGGCGGCGCCGCGTCCCCCCATTGGCCCGCCCATGGAGTTGCCCGCTCGCTCGTGGTATGTATCTTGGGGGGGTTGTCCGGGTTGCCCCGGAGGGCGCTCCTGCAAGTTGTGTGTGTCCGCTGGAGAAGGCGTGCGGCCATGTGCGGGCATGGCATGGCCTTCCTGACCAGCGACCTCGTGGGCGTGGATCACGGAGATGCACAGCATGTGCGGGCACGCGCGGGGGGGCGGCGGCGTCAGCGCCGCCCCGCAAACGTGCGCGCAGGTGGGCGTGCACGCAGTGCGCGGCATGTACGCAGAGAAGACGTAGGAAAAGGACGGTGAGCGCTGTTTGAGAATGAGCCATGTATGCATACATCCTTACACATGCAAGCCCAACTCAATTTCGAAGTACACATGTATATATGTTTAAAGATGGGCATTTGGAGGCACAGACAAATACATGTACATATACACATACACACATATATATATATGCATATATGTGTATATATATATATATATATACATGTACACACGTCGACGCACCATTTGCTCGCATTTAGATCATCCACAATTCCTCTCTGTAGGCGCCCGCAGGCGCCAGCGATTATTGTCTCCCGATCGTTCAAGTGTCAGTTGTTGGGCCATCGGGTAATCGGACAATGCTTCCTTGGCTGCCTTGCACGACGCAAACATGTTGAGCTTGTTTGTGTAAGAATTGCAGGACATGTTGACCGAGTCAGCGCGTCGTTTTCGTCGTCGCCGTCTTCATATGGGAGGTGCGCTGGCAATCGTGCGCAGCAAGAGGTCGCCGCATTTGTGCTGAGCTTACTCGGTTGTGGCCGCGCGTTCAATTGCGTGCCAGACATTGTTCGCCGCGCTGGACATTGGTGGGTGGATATAATTCCCATCGGATGATGCTTCCTTCGCTACCTTGCGCGACAAGGATGTTGAGCTTGTGTGTACAAAGGTTGCAAGATAATTCGCGACATCTCCAATCGAGTTGGCGCGTCGTCTTCGTCGTCGTCGCCTTCGTCATTGTCGTCGTCGTTGTCGTCGTCACGGTTGTCGTCGTCGTCACGACGACGGTAGCGTCGACGTCTGTGGCAGAGGGTTGGGCGGTGGCCGCCGCGGCGGAATGATTTGTTTCAAGTTTTTTGGGGGCCTAATCCGAGCATAAGCCCGCGGAATCAATTTGTTTCCAATTTGTTGGGGGTATCAAAGAGTTGTTCTATTTCGAGGTGGCCGATCGCGCCCCTCGGTTTCAGGGGCGGTGGCGCTGAGCTGGCGCTTGAGTGACAAGCTTCCTTTGCGTGCCGCCTCGTCGGCCAGTGGGGGGACCCTTGCCGAAACGTCCTGCGCGGGCATGGCATTTGCAGTTCCTTCTGACCGGGGTGTTCCAGCAAGGGCCCCGCCTTAGAGCCGGGGGCAACGATAGGGGGGGATAGGCACAGGGGGGGATGCATCGACCCCCAATCGCCCACTGATCGCCGATAGGGGCCCGATGGCCCCAACCTGCCTGGGAAGGTGCGGACTCGCTATCGTGGGCTTATCCTCAATCTATCGGCGATGTATAGCCCATTGCAGGTCGATGTTTCCCCCCGTATGCCAGTCCCCCCCGATCGTTGCCCCTCAGCCTTAGAGGAATCCGGAGGTTCGGAGGCCAGCAAAAACTGGCGCTTGTGAGCCACATTGGCTGTGTCGCCAGCGGAAGTTCGGCACAACCTCGGCGGAAGCTGCTTGAAGTGAGAGCGTGACCTCCCGAGAGAGGTCAACGCCCGCGCCCCCAGGGTTTCGGAGCTGGGCGGGAGAGGAAAGCCGCAGAGGCTACCTGCAGCAGGCGGCTTTGGGGGCACTGGCCCCGCGAAACCCTGCGCGCCAGTGGCCAGCCAGCCCTGGAGACGCCTGTCGATTGCGTGTGTGGTCTCGCGGGGTCCAGCAGCTTTCGCCGATCCCGAGTGCCCATTTTTTCCCTTTGCCAACTCTCCCCGTTCCTGAGTTCACCCTATCCCGTCTGCCCCCTCCTCGTCCCAGGCGACCTTCCCGCCGAAGATCGAGCGCCTGGCCCGAGACCTCTTGCAGCAGCCCGTAAGGATCACGACGGGGCAGGGCGGCCAAGCCGCAGCCAACATCGTGCAACACGTGGAGGCCCTTGGGGGAAAGGTCGATGGGGGAGCGGGATGGAGGGGGGAGGAGGAGGTTTTCGAGGCCTCCTCTGAGTGCAATGTCTCTCCTTCGGCACACTCCCCGAGGGCGGCGCTCCCATCGCACGCGCCACCTTAGCCAGGCAAGGGTGGCCGTTCGATTCAGGCTCCTGCGCCGCGCACATCGAATTTGGAGGCCAGCCGCGAGTTGTTTCCGTCAGATCTACGGGGTCGAACCTCCTGACGACAAGATCGTCGAAACTAATCCTCACACGTGCCCGTTTCTTGACGACAGTCCAGGCGGTTTCTGGAGCGACTGAGCTGATTCCTCATCAGGTGCACGTCGAAGTTCCTTAACGCCCACTCTCATTGCGCACTTCAGGCTGCATGCCTCTGCCGCATCTGAACCGTATTTCCCCCAGGATCGCACACTGTTGCGGCCTTCGTTGCGTCAGAATTGCAGTTCTTCGCGTCATCTCGTCCACGAGATTCCTCTTCCTCGTTCGGTATATGGGTAGAGGCCTCTGGCGCTGGGGCCTCCATGGCGGTGCTCAACTAGCCCCGCTGGGATGCTCCCCAGTACTGCAGCCCGTCGGTCCAGTCATTCGAACCCGTTGTACTTCACAAGTGCCCTTTGCTTCCACATATGTGCGGGTTTCTGCTTCCCCACACATGGAGTGCCTCGCCGCGGAAGCACCCGCCGCGGAGGCTGGGCGGGCGAGGTGCCTCGAGAAGGGCCGGCTCTGTCTGGGCTCGGTGTCGCCGCTGGGCGCGCGCAGCGCTTCGGGAAACCACTCGCCGTGGCCCCCAGGGCCGCCGGGGGCGGCGGGCCCACGTGGGGTTTACGGGAGCTCCCCGGGCGCTCCCGGATCTCACGGAGCATCCAGGGAGGATCCCCAGGTGCCTCACAGGTGCACTTCACGATGCGTGGAAGACGGCCGACGGCGACGGCAGAGCGGCCCGCGGAGTCCCAGGAGGGCCCCCGAGTGGCCTCAGAGTAGCAGAACATCGAATGAAGTTCTGATGATTCGATTTGCCTCGCCTTCTCTGGCCGGCCCCAGCCCGCCACGGCAACGGTCGGACCTGCCAGATTGCCACACGAGAGCCCGAGGGAGCCCCACGAGGGCCCCAAGACGGCCCAAGTGGGTCGCAAGACGGCACAACGGGCACCCAAAACGGCCCGAAGAGGGCGCCAAACGGGACCCACGGGGAGTCTCGAGTGGTAATTATCTTCAAGAGTTCGCTCGGCTCCCAACATGCTTTCGACCCCCCCCCCGGGCGCCTCCAAAACGTCCCAGGAGGCTTGGGGCTTCCAAGAGGCCCCCGAAAGTCTAAGAGCACGCCAGCGCCCAATTGTTTTAACATTCTTGTTGCGAGAATGTATTCCCAAATGTGTATTCCGGATACTCGGTGTTGGAAGTTCTACGAAACACAAGGCGTTTGACGGATTTCGGCATGAACGCGCGACGACGCGCGCGTGTGCACACCGTCCCGTTTGTTGCAAGGGCTTGTTGAAAATTGATGATGTTTGACAAGCGCGTGTGCGCAGATCGTTTTTTTGGCGGAGTATGAGGGGGGGACCGATAAGGGGCTGCCTGGGATGGAGAGATTTGATATTTGAGATGGACGAGACTTTCAGATTGGAGATATGTAAATGGCAAAACAATCTGGCGGACCGTTAAGTCCAGAGGGGGGGAGGTAGATCCGAACATTTTGTTAGATTGGAAAGCCGATGTTGGGCAACGAGTATGGAGCAAACAATGTGGTGCAGTATGTGCGGTGCTATATACATTGTGAGGTATGTATGTTTGTATATATGTGTGTGTGTGAAACTATAGATCACTAGGTATCCATAGACATATGTATACATACATGTCTCTCTCTACATATATATATATATATATGCGTATGTGTATAGATAGTTATTCATATATATATAGAGAGAGAGAGAGAGAAAGACCTGAATGGCTTCGCCCTTTGCCGCCAGTCCTCCTATTACTAGTGCGGGCGGCTGCGCGGGGGTCTCCTTTGGGCCTCTTGGGGGTCTCCTTGGGGCCTTTGGGGGTGTCCTCGAGCCTCTTGGGGGTCTCCTTGGGGCCTCTTGGAATCAATATGTTGGGGCCTCTTGGAGGCCTCTTGGGGCCTCTGGGGACCCTCTTGGGGCCTCCTGGGGCCTTCTCGCGGCGGAAAGGTAGAGTTTTCGGTTCGTGGACTCCCTCTTGGACCGTCTTGGGGCCCTTTTCGGCCGTCTTGGGGCCTTCTCGGGGGCCTCTTGGGCAGTCATGGGGGCTTCTAGGGCCGTCGTGGGGCGATCTTGGGAACCTCTTGGTCCGTCTCGGAGCGTCGGAAAGCCGAAAAGGCGACAAGGCGAAACACCTTTAAAACAATGTGAGGAAGATCGTTGGTTTTTGCTTCGTGGGGCCCTCTTGGGAGGCCTCTTGGAGGCCTCTTGGGCCGTCTTGGGAGCATCTTGGGTCGTCTTGGGGCGATCGTGGGACATTTTGGGGCCATCTTGGGCCGTCTTGGCCTCCTGAGGCTCTCTTCGGAGCCTCATCCGGCGATTTTGGAGGCCTCTCGGGCCGTTCTGGCCGCGCGGTGGCGTCACCATGAGAAACCTGGGGTGGCCTGGAGCAGTCTGGATTTGAGGTTTCCCCCCCCCTCGTTGGCTGTTTGGTGGCGCGGCGGGGCCCCTTAGCAGACAGTAAACAAGAGGCAGGAAACAGAACTGGACAGACAAAAGGCCAAACAACAAACGACAACACATAACACATGACAGCATACCGCACAAATCTTCGCAGCCTTGCGCCCCCGGAGGGGGCTGGTGGATTTATGTTGAGCAATATATATTTTACAACCTATGTGGCGCAATATTTGCGGAGCTAGATATGTGGCGCAATATATGTGGTGCGCTTCACCAGCGCTCGCAATGAATTGTCAACTCCACTGCTCGCGCAATCATGCCACCCACCCACCCGCAGCTTGGTTTGCAAGACCCCTGCGACGGCGACTGCGATGAGTGCTTGGCGTTGGCTGGTGCATCTCTGAGGCCGCGCTAGCTCGCGCATGCTCGCGCGCGCAGCAGCGGCCAGCTAGTTCGGCGCGACCAGCGCGACCGCGGTTGCGTTGATCAATGGGCACTTCCCAGCGGACACTTCAGTGCGAGTCGGTGACTTGGGCGGGCGCAGTATCATGGCGACGCCGACAAGAGTAGACATGATGATACGAACAGGGATGATGGTGACGATGGTGAAGATGACGACGGCAAGGCCAATGACGGCGCCGATGCTGATTACGCCGGCCGATAACGATGACGATGCCCCCGCGTCGGTGATGAAGGTTTTGGAACGAGTTCGGCATGCTCGCGCGGCCGACGCGCGCGAGTGGCCCGCGTGGTAAAACTTGACACGGGTCGTGCCACCCCAGCTCGCGCGGAAGGGCGTCCGGATGAGTTCGACATGTGGCGCTAGAGGCCCGCTTGGCAGAATTTCATGACAATGTTGAAAAATCGATGGTTGTTTCGAGAATGCATTTACTTATTCGTTTCGCTCACTCCGCCGGCCCATCTTGCATTATTCGTGCTATATGTTTGTGTGTTCGTGGCGAGCGAAAAGGCGAAGGAGAAGGACGAGGAGGAGGAAAAGGGGGGTATGAGGATGAGGAAGAGGTTTCTGGAGAGCTTTTTGTGTCAAGGTGAGGCGAAACTGGTCATGGACAAGGCGCCTTTCTGGGAGTCGTTTGGGGTCTTCGGGGAGGCCGTTTGGGGGCCTCTTGGCGGTGCGCTTTCGTTCGAAGATTGAGGGCCATTGACGCAGAGGGGGGAGAAGGACGAGAGGGAAGAAAGAAGGAAGGGTTACTGAAACGATCGGAGGCATTTGTTTCGGCCTCTTGGCGGTAAGTCTGACACCTCCTGGGGCGGTTCGGGGCCTCTTGAGGGCCTCTTGGGGGTCTTGGGCCTCTCGGGGGCCTCTTGGGGGTTTTTGGGGGGCCTCTTGGGGCCTCCAGGGGACCTGCGCCTGGACCTCGAAATGTCCGCTCGGGTCCCGCGTCTGGGTCCGCTCTTGGAGCCGTCTTGGGAGCCTCTTCGGCCATCTTGGAGGCCTCTTGGGCTGTCTTGGGGCCCTCTGGGGCATTTGTGCGCGTTCTTGGAGATCTCTTGGGCAATGTTTGGGCGATCCTGGAAGCCTCTTGGGTCGTCTTGGAACGCCGGGAAGCTCCAGGGCGAGATCGCCAAGAACCTTCAAACAATGAAGGGAAATCCATAATTTCTGCCTCTTGTGGAGCCTCTTGGGAGGTCTCTTAAAGCCTCTTGGGTGTCTTTTGGGATCTCCCTCTTTGGGGATTTTTGGAAACCTCTTCGGGCTTCCAGGGGACCTCTCTGCGCCTAGAGCTCGACATGTCCGTTAGGTCCCTCGTCTGGGTCCGCTCTTGGAGCCATCTTGGGAGTATCTTCGGCCTGTTGGGCTGTTTTGGGGCGATCCTGGAAGCCTCTTGAGCCGCCTTGGAGCGCCAGTAGGCTTCCAAGGCGCGAACGCCAAAAGCCCTCAAAAACTACAGCAACATCACTAATGTCTGCCTCTGTGGGCCATTTTGGGAGGTCTCTTGGAGGCATCTGGGGGCGCCTTGCTGGCGCTTTGGGCTGTCTGGAGGCCATCTCTGGCGTCTTGGATCGCTCTTGGGCCGTCTCGGGTCATGTTGAGCTCTCTTGGAGACCACTTGAAGCGCTCCCTGGAATGCTCTTGGGAGTCTACTGAGACCTGGCCGGGACCTGCCCCGGACCTGGCCGGGACTTGCGTTTTTTTTTTTCGTCCAGGGACCCCCAGGGGCGGCCCCGCGCGCGCAAATTAGAATATTGTTAACCAGTCGCTTGAGATCTTAGCACACCCTCGGCCCGTTGGGCCGGGGAATTTGAAAATTGATATTGCAAACTCATGTGTTGTTTGTTTGTGTTCGAAACATTCGTTGTTGTAATCCACACGAAATACATGGTTGTTGTAGGATTCCAGCATGCGCGCGACGACGCGCGCGCGTGCACTTCGTTTTGTCTTATGTACATGATTCTGCCGACAGCACGCGCGCAAGGGCGTTCGAGCGATTTTGATATGCGCGCACGAGAGGCTTGTTTGGTAGCAAATTATGAACATGTTGGAAACCTTATGAGTTATGAGTCGGTGTATACATGTATACACATATACATGTACATCTTATGTATATGTATGTATATATGTGTGTATATATGTATGTATACATATATATCAGTAATCAATAAAATACATATATATATATATATATATATATATATATATATCAGTAAACAATAAAAAAAGGGCGCGATCGCCAGCTTGAAAGCAACAGCCCGCGTTGCGAAACCATGCTTCCTGGGGAGGGAAATCCTCGCAACACTTGATTTTGAAATCCTGACAACAGCCATGGTGTTCAAAGGATTTCGGCATGGACGCGCGCGCACTGCGTCCCGTTGTTTTGTTCAAGGGATTCCTGGAAACAGTTATTTTTTATTAACGAGTGCGCGCATAGAATTCTTCTGCGGAGGATGAGAGGGGGTGGTGGCGTTGCCAGTTTGGCTGGGATAACATGAGCTCGTATTTAGGATGGGCGATGGGGCAGAATTTCATTCACAATGCAACACGAGAAAGGGAGCGGTTAAGTCCGGGGGGGGCGGGCAGATCGTAATATTTTATTGCCCGGGGAATTAATGTCTGTTCGCACTGAGTTGTTCACTCCACTGCTCGCGCAATCATCCCACCCGCCGACCCGCAACTTGGTTTGCAAAACCCATGCGGCGGCGAGCGCGCGCAGCGACCAGCTAGTTCGGCGCGACCGACGCGGCCGCGTTGGCGCTGACCGCTGGGTATATCCCAGCGGGCACTTCAGTGCGGGTCGGTGACTTGCGCAGGCGCGGTATCATGACGACGCCGATTGTGATATTAGCGATGATGACAACGATTGTGAGACTAGCGATGATGGTGGCGATGGTGACAACGGCGACGGCAATCAATGCCAGTAACGGTGCCGATGTTGATCATGCTTGCGATGACGGCTCCCTCGCGTGGGCGAAGGTTTTGCAGGGAGTTCGACATGCGCGCGCGGCTAGCGCGCGCGAGAGTGGCCCGCTCGGTATTGGACGACGCGGATCGCGACCCCCCTACCTGCAGCACGTGCGCAAGGGCGTTCGAATGAGTTCGGCATGCGGCGCGAGGGGCCCGTTTGGCCGAACGCACTGGCAATGTTGAGAAACCAACGGTTGCCCTAAGAATGTGCAGGAGCGCGCGCGCAGGATTCTTGGGACAATTGATGTTGCAAAACCATGTGGTTTATATTTGTCCGGGACATTCGATTTCGAAATCCAAACAACTAGCCAGGTGTTTGACGGATGTCGGCATGCGCGCGACGACGCGCGCGCGCATTCCACCCCATCTGTTGCAAGGGGTTCTGGCGACAGCACGCGCGCAAAAGGGCGTTCGAACGATCCCGACACGCGCGCGCATGAGGGCCTTTCGGTTGCAAGTTACGACGATGTTGAACACAAACAATTGTAGTTGCTTGAAGAATTATGAAAAACCCGAGCGCGAGTTTTGTTTGAACAAGCTCGTTGCGAAGCCTTGTGTATTTTAGTTCCCATGTTTGCGGGACTGTTGGAAACCTTACGGGGCCTACGGTGTTGGAAGGATTCCAATACGCGCGCGCGACGACGCGCGCGCGAGCACTTCGCTTCATTTGTTCGTAAGGGGTTCTTGGACATGTATGGATTATGATAAACGAGCGTGCGCGCATAGTGCTTTTTGCTGAGGACTAGGGGGGAAGTGTTACCGGCCTGGCAGGGAGTTTACGAATCCATATGTTGGATGGACGATGCGGCAGACCCATATGTAAATTGCAAGACGAAAAAGGGGGCGGTTAAATCCGGGGGGGGTAGATTGACAAGTCCCAGGCCCGTGCAAACATCCCACCCGCCCACCCGCAACTTGGTTTGCAAAACGCATGCGGCGGCGAATTGCGATGAATGCTTGGCGTTGGTTGGTGCATTTTTGCGGCCGCTGTAGGCCTCGCATTCTTGCGCGCGCAGCGGCCAGATAGTTTGGCGCGACCGACGCGGCCGCGGTGGCGCTGACCGCTGGGCACTTCCCAGCGGGCGCTTCAATGCGAGTCGGTGAGTTGGGCAGGCGCGATATCATGACGACGCCGACAACAGTAGACACCTTGATGAGAGTAGCGATGATGGTGACGATGGTGGCGTTGACGACGGCAAGGCCAATGACGGCGCCGATGTTGATCACACCCGCCGGTACTGATGACGATGTCCTCGCGTCGGCGATGCAGGTTTTTGAAGTAGTTCGACATGCGTGCGCGGCTGACGCACGCGAGTGGCGCGCGTGGTATGATTTGACGCGGATCGTGACCACCCCCGCCAGCACGCGCGCAAGGGTTTTCGAATGAGTTCGACACGCGGCGCGAGGGGCCCTTGTGTAAACAATTGATGAACATGTTGGAAAACCGATGGTGGTTCCCCGAAGAATCCGCACGACCGCGAGTGCAGGATTCGTTTGGAAATTGGCGTTGCAAACCTATGTGTGTTTTGCACGTTTTCGGGGCAGCCCAGACCCCCTCACGAAACCTCAGGTTGTTGAAAGATGTCGGCCTGCGCTCGCGACGACGCGCGCGTGTGCACGTCGTTCCGTTTGTTGCAAAGGATTCTTGAACACTGATGGCTTTTGATAAACGAGTGCGTGCGCATAGTATTTCTTGCACAGGAGGGGGGATCGAAATCCAGCCTGGCTGGGATGGCTTGAATTCGTTGACGATGTGGCAGAACCAGATGCGAATCGCACTTCGGAAAGGGGCCCGTTGGCCTCGGTGGGGTATATCCTGGTTTTTTTTCTGGGATCTAGAATCGGTGTGGTGCAGCACGTGTTGTCCAGTCGATAGGATTGCAGTCGCCGCCGGTCGCTGCCGATTGATCTGCCAATTTTCGACTGGATTGCAACGGATTGGACTGCAATTGGTCGATGGGATTGCAGTCGATTGGCCTGCAATCGATTGGGTAGCAGTCGATTGGATTGCAGCGGGTGGTGGTACAACGGGGCGGCGGCGACTGGGCGGCGAAGGCGGCAACAAGGCGGCGGACCCGACAAACGAGCCCAGCCGACGGGCGGTGACGAGGCGGCGACGGGGCGGCGACGGCGGCAACAAGGCGGCGGACCCGACACCTGGGCCCAGTTCTTCAGGAGACGGGCGAGATTCCCTAGGTGCAGGCACTGCTTGGGGAAACAGCTTCGGCACAGCACGAACCCCCGCAATCCGCAATCTGCTCGATAGCTTCAAGCACAACCCTCCCGACGGCCTCCACGCGCACAAAACATCGATGCCGGTCAAGTCTTTGAGGAATTCGACTGCTCTCTCCGAGTGAGGCTCCCGACAGGCCAAGACCGCCTCATCAAAAATACTCCCAGGTCGCCCGAAGCCCGAAGACGCCCCAAGAGACTCCCAAGACGCCCCAAAAGACTCCCTCTCCCCCGCCTCCTCCTCCTCCTCCTCCTCCTCCTCCTCCTCCTCCTCCTCCTCCTCCTCCCCTCCTCCTCCTCCTCCTCCTCCTCCTCCTCCTCCCCCTCCTCCTCCTCCTCCTCCTCCTCCTCCTCCTCCTCCTCCTCCCCCTTCTCCTGTCGACCCTGTCGATCCTTGCGTAGCCATGTCCCTCCGGACGAAAGACCACGGTGGCGGGCGAACGCCCCTCGCCAGGACCGCCACAAACACCCCAGGATGGCCCCAAGAGGGGACCACGAGGCGGAAGTCCGAGCTGGCCAGCGGAGAACACGCCACAACCTTGGAAGCGGGCGTCCGCCGCCCAGTGCTCGCACAGCCAACCGCTATCGCACGCGTGGGCATGACCCTGGCGAGGCAAGCTGCTCACCGTGCACGCTCGCCCTGCCGCATCTCCTCCACTTGCAGCCGACAACGGCGTTCGTTTCGTGTACCCGCTGCCACGGCCAAGGCTGCCGCACGCGTGGAGAGGCAAGCTGCTCACCGTGCACGCTCGCCTTGCCGCCTCTCCTCCGCTGCAGCCGATGCACAGCATTCGCGTCGTGTGTGCCCACTGCCACGGCCACGGCTGGACGGCTGGCCCGCAGAGGGACTGCCGCTGCCCACCGTGCCGTGGACGTGCGCCACCTCTGCGGGGGGGGCCTCCTCATCGTTGCGCAGGGGCGCGGTCTGGGCCGCAGGGTTGTCTTTCTTGATGGGCCTGTTTTTGCACCACCACCACCTTAAGTTGGAGGGGGGAACGAAGGTGGAGGACGAGGAGGAGGAGGAGGAGGAGGAGGAGGAGGAGGAGGAGGAGGAGGAGGAGGAGGAGGAGGAGGAGGGGGAGGAGGAGGAGGAGGAGGAGGAGGAGGAGGAGGAGGAGGAGGAGGAGGAGGAGGACCCCCTTCCCCCTCCTACTTCTCCACGGGGCGGCGCGAGAGCGCGAAGAGAAACGAGCTTCGCGCTGCGCCTCCACGAACCGCAAGTTTCATGCGATGCAACTTCAAATTGGGCTCCCAAGAAATGTCTGCGGCAGGATGCCCAATGTTTGCGCAGTCGGCCACTTGAAGGGACTTCACTAATTCTAGTGTGGCAGTATCCCCATGCCCGGCCTGCGCGGGGAGGTGTTGAAGAGCGACGACGAGAAGTGGGACTGGATGTCGAAGCACATCGACGGCATGCTCGAGAAGGGCCAGGTCGCGCTACCGCCTTTCCCAGCCTGTAGATGGTTTGCCTCCCCCCCTCCTATCGTTTATCACTTTGCTCCTATCCGTGGCCACTTGGGCTCCATCTCTGTCTTTGAAGAACTTGTTTAGGCCAGTGCGCTGCGTTCTGTCTGCTTTCGGGCGCGCACTCGAGCGAGGGAAAGGTCCGTGGGCATGTTGCTTGGGGGGCGTGCACTCCCCGCTTGGAGCTCGTCGTCGTGGGCCGCGTAGCCCCCGCCTGGTCGGCTGGGGCGGGGGATCCCCTTCGGTTGGCCACGCGACCAGTCTGGTCGACATGGGTTTGTTTTGAGGTGAGGCCGTCAGTGAGCGCTGGGAAATAAAAGGCAGGCAGGGGGTGGTCGAGGGCCCAGTCGTGCTTGGAAAACCACAGAGACCTCTCCAGACAGCTCACGAGCTAAGAGGCATTCTGATGCGGCCCTTCGTGCCAAGTGTCACGCCGTCTGATCTAGCCGGACGAGGCTGGGACGAGGATAAATAGGTTCCAGAGCGTTCTGAAACGCTCTCAGGGCGTTCCGGAACGCTCTGAGAAGGCCGCGGCGCCCGAAACGTCCTCCAGAACCGCCAGATCTCAGAGCATCCTCAACCCGAAGTATTCTCGTTCTGGCTTCCTCTTATCTAGATCCGAGATCTTTGCGCGAACGTCATGCCACCATCAGCAGTTTTACCATTTCAATTCGCCGTTGTCCTCGAGTTCCTCTGTCCGAGCGTGAGTGATGCACCTACCATGATACGGGGCTAGTCAGCTGCGGCTGCTGGCCAGTCTTCGGCAGCATGCTGGTCTAAGGAATGGCTCCGCTGGCGCTCCAGAAAAGTCTGAATCAACGAGGTGAGACACATTAGTCTCCGTTGGTCTTCATCCCCCAAAGACCTCTTCATCGCATCGTCGCCCCATCATCCTCGCCGCTGCAGCAGAGCCAGGTCCTCGTTTTCGTCAAGTCCATTGCCAGTGCGGAGGAGACCCGGGGGGGCGAGGTCTGGAAACGAAGGATCGTCGGAGCCAGCGGCTGCAGGAGGAGACGCTCGGAAGGAGGAGGACCAGAACATAAGAGTGGGGGGGGAGCGAAAGGTGGAGCGGGGTGGGGTATCGGGGACGGCGACTGTGAAGGAGTCTCCTTCACAGTCGCCGTCGCCTGGCAGGCAGGAGAAAGGGGGGTGGGGAAGAGGTGAGGGCACCCGGGGGGCCAGGGAGACGAGGACAGGGGGCGGGAGACTGGGGGAGTGCGGGCGGGTGACTGGGGGTCGGGTGACCGGGGATCGGGGACAGGCGGGGGCGAGAAGAATCGGGCGAAGAGAACTATGCACATGCACCGATCCTGGCAATGCCCATCCTTGACCCAGGATCGGTGCATATGCCTTCCTGGCCAAGGTAGGAGGGCGTATGCACCGATCCTGGGCTCAGGATGGGCCTGGCCAGAATCGGTGTATGTGCATAGTTCTCTTTCCTCTAGGTGCAGGGGCAGGGGGGAGGATGAGGAGAAGGGTGAAGAGGATCAGGAATTCACACCATTATCGAAATCGCCATCGCAGATCGTCTGCGGTCGCGAGCAAGCAATTGACCTACATTTTGAAGCACGTAGTTCGAGTGGTTGGCAACGTGTCGGGCACACCCAACATGAAGTTTCCTTGTTGTTCGTGCACCAAGATCTTGTCTAGTGAGAGACGCGCAGATTTGAGAAACTGCCAGACCAACTCGCTGTCAATTCGAGTGGTAGATCCCCATAGCTCATGGTCAGAGGTTTGCAAGACCGCCCTGGCACAAGGGCACGTGAAACTCGTAATACAAGCTGGCGGCGGTGTCAAAGACAGTCAATGCGACGCAGCTGCTCTGACAATGGGTCGGTGGGCCGAGGCGCCAGGAAGCTGCACGTTTGATCCTATGATTGCCCACCGGCCCAGCATGTTTCTTGACCCGATTTGCAGCGTGTGCGGGGCAGATGCTATGGCCCTCGACGGTGCTACGAGGGAAATCGCCAGCCCTGTTACCCGGTTTAGGATTCTAACGGCTATTGGCTAGACTGCTGGAGGTAATCCAACGAAAGAGAAAGCGGAAGGGGAAGAGGGAATGAGGAAGCATGACGAATGATGATGAGGACGAGGCGGACGAGGAGGGAGGAGGTCGGGCGGGCACACATTCGAGGGGTCAACCCTGCTCTGTCTGATAGTCCGGTGCGCGCCCCATGCACGTCGGTCGCAGACCCGATTCGTTGTCAAATGGGTCTACAAATTCCTCTCTCCCAGGGTCAAGGCAAGAGGAGGGAATAGAAGAGACAGCGAGCGCTTGGGCTGCCACCGGAGACCTTCCGTACTTCCGTGCCGTGGGCACGACTCGGTTCAGTTCGATTCACGCGCCATCGGCCGTCGAAGGAGGATGAGGGGGAGGCGGAGGCAGCATGGGGGAGGCGGAGGCAAAGGGAAGCAGGGAGGCAGGAGAAGGGCTTCTCTCTATCGGAAAAGAAGAAACGCCATAAACATCAATGTTTGGCGCTCCGCGCGGATTTAAGCCCAGAAGCCTTGCTGCGGACCCCTCCTCGCAGGATCCACTTCTTCTTCTGCTTCGGCATCGTCGCCGACGACGCCGAACTCGCACTCCTGGTCTTAGTTGGGGCTGGGCTCCCTCTCGCCTTCGTCTTGGCGTCGTCGAAGGAGGCGCGGCCGCCGTAGAGTTAGGTCGGGCACGTCCCTCTACATGAGGCAAATTCAAAAATACTCAAAACATATCTGGGACGATGTTTTGATTATTTTAAGCTAATCTTGAGCATTGTTGGTGTATGTTTTATTTGTCGTCCAAAATCCGCCTGTAGGGGGACATGCCCGACCGAAGTTTACCACGTCAAGTTACGATGCCAGCAAGGCCTCCTGGGACTTCCGGACGGACCCGAGCTCGAGGATGGACATTGGACCTGCGGGGCCTGCGGGGCCTGCGGAGCATGTTGGCGGGGCCAGGGTATCCCTGGGCGCAGCGGCTTGCGCCGAGTGTTTGGCGGCTACCGCGCCTCTCCCCGCCCAGCGCCTTGTGGAGCGCGGCCGCTGCAGTGGCCCAAGATCCAGGGGCGCCCGCCTCCTCCAGCGGCGCGCCAGGCGTCTCCCTGAGACTGCATGGCACGGAAGCTGCAGTGCTGCCCCCGCGCACACCCGCTGCTCGGCAGCCCTCGCTTCAGCCCCGCCTGCTCCAACTGCAGCCCCGCGAGCTCCGTCTGCTGCTCCCTCGGCTGCTCCGCGATCTCCGTCTGCTGCTCCGCGAGCTCCTCCTGCTGCCCCGCGTGCTCCTGCTCTTGCTCCAGCCAGCTCATGGTGCTTGCCTTTGTGCCTCGCCGGGCGTCCGTCGCGCCGCCAGTGTGCGCTGGGGGCGGGGGGCCAGCTCGGCCGGCCCAGGCGGCGCGCGGTCCACCGCGCGGCGCCGCGCACGGGCGCCCCGCCAGGTGAGCCACGTGGGCGCCCTTGGCAGGCGTCGCCGGGCAGAGCCCAGGCGAGACAGCGACGCGGCCAGGGTTACGTCGGGCATGCCCGTCTACAGGCGAAATATTGCAGGATAGTCAAAAAGTAGTCTGGTGACGTTTTCTTTCTGCCATTTTTGGACTATGTTCGAACCTGTGTTAGCTGTTTTCATTTGTTCTTCCAAAATCCGCCGGCGTCCCTGGCGGGCAAGCGTCGCCGGACAGAGCCCAGGCGAGGCAGCGCCGCGGTCAGGGGCCTCGGGGGCAGCCGCAAGGCAGGCTGCGTCTGTGCCTCGAGCTCCGTCTGACTCGTCGGGCTCGGGGGCAGTGGCGAAGCCCGGGGTCGCTCGCGCTCGGTGCTCGTGCAGCCTAGAGCTGCTCCAGAGGAGCACGCCCTGAACTGCCGCGGCAACTTCAGGACGAGGAGGGAGGAGGGAGGAGGCATGGAATGGGGATTGAGGGGGGATGAGCACAGACGGATGACGGTGGAGGGTGCGAGTTGGGCGGGAAATGCGCGCACCACCGTGTTCCTCTGCTCGCTGGCAACGGCAGCAACACTCATTTGACAGTCATGAAGGCTGTGATCCGACAGGCAGTGAGCATTGCAGGTCAGGGAGCCGATCGAACGACTACGTGCGCCGTAAACGCGACATCGAGTGCGTTGTTGCGAAACCGGCGTGATCCCATCAGCAGTCTTGTCAGGTTCAACGCAGAAGTGTTCGTTGTCGCACTGCAAACGTGCTAGCTAGTCTTCACGCTTCGCGTATCCCCACCAGCCCATTCAGAAACCCTGCCCTTCAGAGCTGACGGGGAAAGGGACGAAGAGACACATCTAGGGAAACAAAGCGAGCAAGGGGGTGGCCTTGGAAGGCCTCTTCGAGCCATCATTGGGTGCCGCGTGGGGGCGAGGGGAGGAGGACGAGGAGGAGGAGGAGGAGGAGGAGGAGGAGGAAGAGGAAGAGGAGGAGGAGCGAGGAGGACGAGGACTCGGATGAGGCTGAGGACGAGGAGGACGAGGACTAGGATGGGGACGACGCGGACGAGGACTCATGGAACTAGAGGTATTCTTGCGGCTGCTGCTGGTGCTCTCTGGAGTTTGGGGGGCCCTCTTGGACCCTCTTGGTAATCCTGGAAGGCTTCTTGGAATCTTCTTGGAGGCCATCGATTACAGGATGGGGAGGTCCCCAACTCAACTCCCCCCTCAGGAGCCGGCAAACTGCTTCTTGGGGCTTTTTTGGAGCGCTCTTGGAGCTGTCTTGGGGCCGTTTGGAGCATCTTGGGAGCCATCTTGAGCCAGCTTGGGCTATCTGAGCCATCTTGGAGGTCATCTTGGGCTCTCTGAGACCGCTCGGGGGCCGGGCCTCTCGGGTGCCTCTTGGGGCCCACTTGGGACCCTCTTGGAGCCCTCTTGGGGCTCTCTTGGAAGCCCTGGAGCTCCTCTTGGGGCCGTCTTCGAGGCTATCGATCGAAGGAGGGAGGCACCCGATCGAGGTCCCCCCTCGGGTGCCACGATCCTTGAACGGATCGCGGCCCCTCACGTCCAGTTCCAGGGGAGGGGGTAGGGGGAGGGGTCAAGACACCCTCTCCGCACGCAAGCCGTCCAGCTCACTCCCACCCGCCCTCCCACCACATAGGTGGCATCTGAATCTCGGCATAGCCAGGGATCGCCACTGGATGGACAGCCACTGGGAACCAAAACGGATGCCAGGTGCGTGACGCTCGCCGAGGGCTCCACATGCGGTTGGCGTGCCATCCTCATAGAAAACGTGATGCCCCCCGTCCGCATGGTCCAGATGCTGATGTGGGGGGCGTCAGCATTGTTCTGGGCCTGCGCACAGCAAGCATCATCATGCGGGCACCATCGCCGCCCCTGGCAACAAACCATACAAAGTGATCGCGGGTGGCCCTCACAATACCCACGACGTTGTCGCAACGTGCACGTTGCATTGATTTTGACACGGATGATGACCCTGCACAAAGAGGCTTCTCTAAGGGTGCCCCGCCATCCCTGTCAAAAACAATGCAACGGGCTCACAGGGCGGCAGCGCACTGTCCAGGTTTTGCTGCAATGTGCACTGCGTATTGTTTTTGAGAGGGGTTGTGGAGGGTGTTGGCAGGGTGGGCACCGCAATGTGCATGTTGCATTGTTTCTTGACATGGATGGTGGGGGGGGGCCCATGATGTGCGCATGGTTCTGGGTTGGCTGCAGGCCGGGTGGGGGAGGGGGTGTCAATTCATAGGGAACAGTGATCAAGACACCCTTCAGATAGCAAGCCGTATAGCTCACTCCCACCCACTCTCACAACACATAAGTAACACCCGAGCCTCAGCATGTTTCGCGATCGTCTTTTGATGGGCAGCTACTGGGAATCAAAACCGAGCCCATGTGCGCGACGCTGGGGCGAGGTGCCCCACGCGTGCCAGGCGCGCCACGCGCGCCAGGCACCCCTGGGGCCCGAGCGGGCCAGGCACGCCTAATGCGCCAGTTGCTTCCTCCAGCCGCGCCAGGTGCGCCACGTCCTGGGCACGTGCAGAGTGTGTCGGGTGCGCCTGCGCACGTGACAGCACACATCGGTAAACATGGCGGCCCCCACCAACCCTGTCGAAAACCAAAGCTCATCATAGTGTCTGGTGGGCCTGCGCACAGCAGGCCATACGCCACCATCCCCGCCGTCCTTGACAAAAACCACTTGAAGATGATCGCGGGGTGGCCGCACACTATCCACACTTAGTCGCGAGATGCATTTTGTATTGTGTCTTTGTCAGGGAGGGTAGCCCTGCGACAGCAGGCAATATGCTAACACCCCCACCGTCCCAGTCGAAAACAATACAAAGTGCCCGCGGGCCTCACGAACATGACTCCAGACTTTGCCCCAGAGTGTACTGTATATTGTTTTTTGAAAGGGATGGTGGGTGGGGGCCCTTGTCGCGTCGGTTGCAAATGCTCCGAATTTGGAAGCAGAGTGTGTTGTGTATTGTTTTTTGGCAGGGATGGTGGGGGGGGGCCCTCATGGTGTGCGCATGCTTCCGGGTTGACTGCCGGCCGGGTGGGGGAGGGGGTGTTTATTAATAGGGAACAGTGATCAACCCCTACCCGAAGGGGAAGAAGGGCTTTCGGAAGAGGACAGAAAGACATCGTTAGACCACCTGCGACCTGAGGGCTGGTGGATTCCTTGCATGTTGCAGACATGCGCCCGGCTATGTTGGCTCCCCTTGCGGCCTGGGCCCGACAAATCCGATATACCCGAGTATGATCGACCGTTGTCTTGTCAGACAACACATCTTATTCTGTTCAAGAAAAATTGAAGCGCGATCATGGTCCCCTTTCCGGGGAAGTCAGCGATAATGGATACATATATATATATATATATATATATATACATATTAAAATACCGCCCCCCCTGGCCCCAGGTCCCATACCTCCCCGTGACATCTCGGGGACGCTCCTGGTACCGCTCCCCCGGCCTTTCCGGGGAGCCTCCACAGGAGGGCCCAAGACGCCTTCCAGGAGCCCCTAGCATCCAAAAGGATGGCCCACGACGCTCCCAAGCAGCACAAGTCAGCTCTCCGACGGCTCTCGAGGCTCCCAGGTGGCCTCCAGAAGACCCCAAGAGAGGTCCGAGAGGCGTCCCGGGACGGCCCGAAGATGCCAAAAGCGTCGATTCCCATAGAGTTGTTCAATGGTTTTGGCTTTCGCGTTTTCGCTTCCAACGGTCCAAGAGCGCCGAAGAGGCTCCCAAGACCGTCCCAAGACCACCCAAGAGGCCCTCAGGACGGCCCCAAGACGGGCCAAGAAGGCTCTAAGACTGCCGAAGAGGCGCCCAGGACAGCCCCAGACCACCTCAGAACAGGCCCAAGATGGGCCCAAGAGCGGGAGCAGGATGCTTCCAGAGACCTCCGAGAGGCCTCGGGGACCCCCCAGAGGCCTCCAACACACCCCCGATCCCTCGGAGACCCCAAGAAGACCCCGACGAGGCTCCAAGAACAGCCCAAGAGAGCTGCGAGAGCCGTCCCGAGAGAGCCCAAAGAGGGTAAAATCGTTGATTTCCCATGGTTTATCTAATGTTTTTAGCCTTCTCGAGTTTTCAAAGTGGATTCCTACTCGGAGACCCCACACATCCGCTGACATCTGGCCAGTACCGTGCCTCCCAGCTTCCCGGGAGCCCACAAACAAGACGCCCATGGACAGCCCAAGACGTCTTCAAGAAGCCCCCAGAACGTAAAGAACGGCCCAACATGCTCCCGCGCAGCCCGAGACATTTCCGACGGCTCTCCAGGCCTCCAGGAGGCCTCCAGAACCCCCAGGGGGTCCGGAAGATCCCACATCCCTGAGGGGCCCGGCTAACAAAACCCGCGAGGCACAACCAAAAAACAGCGCCGAACAGCGCCGAGGAACTGGACAAAAAATGGAAATCCCACAATTCCTTTTTTTCACAAGTTTGGCCCCCGGTCTACTCTTGCGCAGCAGACCACGATTCAGACTCCCATCACCTCCCCAAAAAATCCCAGGAAGCCTTTGAGGGCCCCAAATCGTTGAATACCTACAGGAAATCAATGATTTCTGCGTTTTCCGCACTTCCCCTGGGCCTCCAAGGGAGTCCCTGGACGCAAGAAGCGGCCAACATTAGGTTACATGAGTTAGCCTATCAAGCCTAGCTAGAACTTGAGCGCGAGCGAAGCGCGCGCGATGATTCTTATATATCTATGTATATATATATATATGAATACACGATGTTAGCGGAACGAGCGAGGAAGAGGAAGAAGAGGAGGAGAAAGACGAGAAGGAGGAGGAACAGGAAATGGAGGCGTATCTACGTTGATCCGCGAGGCAAAGGGAGGAACAAAGGAGAGGAACGCGGATGAGGACAAGAGGAGGAGCCGGAGGAGGACGAACGAGTGAAAGAGGAGGAAGAGGAATAGGATGTTGGGGGGAGGATGAGGAGCAGCAAGCCGGCTGAAGGGGGACGGTGAGGGAGAGATGTAGGTGGAGGGAGAGGGGAGGAAGAGATGCAGGGAGAGAGGGAGGGAGAGATGTAGAAGGAGGGAGAATATGATACAGAACCAAGAGATGCGTACGAGGAGGGGGAGAAGGAGGAGGAGGAGCAGCAGCAGCAGCAGGATAAAGTAAGCGGAGGAGAGGAGGGGATGGAGGTGGACATGGAGATGAAGAGGCGGAGAAGGGGAGGGTAGCAGGAGGAGGATGTCGAGAACGATCAGGGAGGTGGGGAGGGAGGGAGGACACGAATGAGTGGAGAGGGAGTAGTGGACGTATGCGCGTAGGGACGAACGGACGGGCATGTGGGAGAGGAACAGCAGCAGGAGAATAATGGGGGACGACGCGAACGCGGACGAGCCTCATGAGGACGGGGAGGACAGGGTGGAGCAGTAGCAGCCGCAGAAACAGCAACACGATGTGGAAGGAGGAGACGCGTGATTGAGAGGGGCGAGGGGAGTAGGGAAGGCAAGCAGGGAAGAGACGTGGCGTCCTCGCCAGCGCCGACGAGGACGGTGGCGCCAACGGCTGCCACGACGACGACGGCGACGGCGAGGCACGAGGCACGAGGCACGAGGAGAACGGGAAGGGCAATGGGGATGAGGTGGAAGATCGGGGTAAGGAGCACGGGGGGACATTGGCGGGGTCGAGGAGGCGTGAGGAGGAGGAGGAGCAGGAGGAGGAGGAGCAGGAGGAGCAGGAGGAGGAGGAGGAGGAGGGGCTCGAGGAGGGGCAGCCGTAGCGGGCGCATACATCATCCAGCAGAGCTGGACGTGCGGGAGCAGAGCGGGGGCCGTAGAGACCACGGAGGTGTGAGAGCGCGCCGCCGCGATGCGCCCCCGTGGCCCGGCGCTCGCAGAGGAGCTGACCCAGAACTTCACCGACCTCCTGGAGAAGAAGACCGAGTTCCTCCACGGCGACCTCGACCAGACGGAGAGGATGCGAATCCTGCGGGACGTCAAGAGAAAGAAGGCGGCCCACCGCGAGGGAGGAAGGACCGGCATGGCGAGGACTGACAGTGCCAGCCAGTCTTATTTGGTCCGGGGCCCGGGTGGAAAGGCTAGGTCCGTTCGCCCCATGGTTTTTTATTTTCCTTCTTTCTTTCGTTCTCTCTTCCTCTAGCTCTCTCTCTCTCTCTGTTTCTCTCTCGGCCTCGGGCCACGTCAAGACGAGAGACTCGCGCTCGCAGCTGTGACTCGCACACGCAGCTCTGCAGGGGCTTTGGCCTCAAAGCAGCCGGCACTGCAGGCAGGGCGGGCTCTTGGGAACGGATCGCGTTTGATGGCCTGGCGTCTGGCCTTTGTCGGGCCTGTCACTCTGCAGGAGGGATCTTCAAAAATAGTCAAAAAATCAGTCCGGAGACGATTTTCTATTTTTGGTTGCAATGTTTGAGTATATGTATATATATATATATAGATCGAAATGTTTCGTCGAACATCGGCCTGTAGGGGGGGCATGCCCGACCTAACGTTCGCCGTCAGGGCGGCAGGTCGCACCTCTTCGGGGCGCCGGTGGCCGCCTGCAGGCCTGCGCCGACCTCTGCGCACGGGGGGGCGACGACCCAGCACACTGGGAGCATGCTGCGAGGGGGGGATGCGTAGAGACCGGAGGGCGGATGACGTATCCGCTGTGACGGCGCGCCCATCAGAGGCCCGGGGAACGCGCCAAGAATGGGCAGGACCCTCTCGAGTCCTAGACGACCGCCGCCGCACTCGCCCTGAACCCTCTGCGCTAGAAGAAAACAAAACGCCACAAACATCAACTTTTGGCGCTGCGCGCGGATTTCTTGGATCCGCGCTGGGCGCCCCCTGGCGGCGTCGCCAGCGCCGCCCCTGGCGCGCTCCGCGCGCCAGGGAGGGGGCCCAGCGCATATCCAAGAAATCCGCGTGGAGCGCCGAAAGTTGATGCTTGTGGCGTTTTGTTTTCTTCTAGCGCAGAGGGTGCAGGGCGAGTGCGGCGGCGGTCGTCTAGGACTCGAGAGGGTCCTGCCCATTCTTGGCGCGTTCCCCAGGCCTCTGGGTACAAACGCCGCGTCGACAGAGCCCGCCGACGAATACGGTCGGACCGAGGTACAAGATCGAGGTCGGCTCGGGGAGGGCACCAATATGCTCTTCGTGTCCGTTTGGTGCTCCTTTGCATCCTGGGGAGGTTGCCCCTGGCTGTTCTGCGTGCTCTGGCCGGCGCGAGGGTATCCGAGGGGCGGGCTGCCGGCTTAGACGGCCGCCCCCCCCCCTCTCTGCCCCCTCGCGCGCGCCACCAATAAGCATCGGTGGTTCAAAGTCTCCGTTCCAAGGGCGCCCTTCCCGAGAGGGTCCTTCGAAGGGCTCGGCGCCTGCAGAGCCCTTCAACGACTGCATCTGCGATTGCATCTGGCTGTATGTGCAAGAACATGGACATCATCATCAGCAGCATCATCAGCATCATCAGTATCACCATTATCATCATCACTGGCATCATTGACATCATCATCAGCATCAGTATCATCATCGTCATAATTAGCATCATCATCATCATCAGCAGCATCAGCATCAGCATCGTCAGCATCAGCATCATCATCATCATCATCCCTCCTCCCGCGTCTCCCGGGCGTCGTCGGCTTTCTCCCTGAAGCGCGAAGAACATGGATAGTGTGAGAGGGTCTGAGGTTTCCAGGCGCCTGGGGAGAGCGAGTGAGGGAGAAGGGTTCGTCGTTAGCGTGGTGCTTCCGTGCATCCAGACCAGCTGGAAGTCCAGGACATTGTGCGCTTATGCTCGTTTTTGTGACTCGCCACCAGCCAAAGACTGCCAGTGGAGGGTTGGCGTCGGGGAAGGAGCGTAAGCTCGCCAGTCAGAGAGGGCCTTCTCTGGCTCGGGTCACAGCTGTTGAGGCAATTAGCTCCGAAGCTCCAAGCGCGCACCCATATTTGTAGGCGTACGCGTGCTAGCTCGATCCTTTCCCGTCCCCTTGCCTCAGTCCATCCTCTCCTTCTCCCCTCCCTCCTCACCCTTACACCTCAGCACCCTGACCCCGACCCCACCTTTCCCTTTCCGGTCCCTCCGTCCTTACTGTCACTCCTTTTCCCCGCCCAATCCCTCGAATTACCATTTTCTCGCTTTCCCTCAGACCTGCTCTGGTTCGTCCATCCTCGCTTGGTTCCCTTCCCTTTCCCATGCCTATATATATATATATATATATATATATATATATTTATATATATGTATATGTATGTATATATATATATATATATGTACATGTGTATATATATATACATACATATATATATATATATATCCCTCCCTTCCCTTTGGTTGCATATGTCTTTATGGTGTGGTCTCTCTCTCTCTCTTTCTCGTCTCTATCTCTCTCTCTGTCGATGGTATTTTTTTTTGTTGTTTTTCTTTCTCTCTCTCTCTATCTCTCTCTCTCTCTCTCCCTCACTCACTCGAATTATCTTCTCTTATCTTCTCTGTACCTATTTCTTTATAGTGCATATCTACATCTTTCTACACGCATCTAAATGCACGCCCCCTTTCTGAGAGCCTTTCCTGCACTCCCTCCGTCCACTCTTCTCATCCCTTCTACGTACCCTAATTCTTCAAGCTTCGCGTTTCCCCACCAGCAGCGACCTGGTGACGTTCCCGACCTCGCGGAGTTCGTATACGACTGTTGATGAGCGCTGGGCACTCAGCGTTTCCTACATATTCACCTGACCTGCGGCTATCGGCTGCGCCCCCCCTCCTCCCATCAGCATCCACAGATGGGCGCCCGTCGTCGATGTTTCACCTCAGTGACATGTTGTGGCTCTCCCTACCTTCCTCCCCTGGAAGCGGGATACCGTCAGGATGTTGCGTCTTGCTTTCCACGGTATACCGTGGCTTAGCCCGTGTGACGGCGGCTGAAATAATCCCCGCTCACGGTGTGACTTGGCCTTGCTCTCGCGAGCATGGGCCCGCCCCGCCCGCCCGGGCGCTTGAGCGGCTGGGTACGTCGTCCTTAGGCCTGCCCCTTCGTTCCACAACCACAGCTGGGTCTTCGGCGTGGTTGACCTCATCTTAGCGACAGATCGTGGCCCACATTGCAGTCCCCTCAGGACGCGGGGTACTGCTATGACTTGGTTGCGGCTTTTCTTTCACGGTGCACCGTGACTTAGCCCGTGTGACGCTGGCTGAAATAATCCACGCGCGCGTTGGGATTTGGCCTGGCATTCGTGCTTGGGCGCACCTCGCCCGCCCGGGCGTCCGAGCGCATGGGTACATCGGCCTAAGGCCCGCCCCATCGTTCCACCCTACACATTTGCTGTGGCACCCCCCATCGGCAGGCGCTGACGACGGCTACTTCTCGGGCATCGGTTTCGGGCTCGGTCTGCCCGCCTGTGCCCACCTACACGTGGCGCTGTCAGCTGGAAGGCCACCCCCCCCTTCTGTGGCCGTGCTAAGGTGCCCTCATACTGGTGACGTGCAACGGTCCATGAGCCTCAGTTGCTCCGTAAGTGAGGGTTTGGCTTACTTCCGGCGTTGGCTCTTGGCCCGCTGGTAATATTCTCGCCCGTCCGCGTCTCCTCGCGCTGGGTTTGGGCCCGCGGGTATTTTCCCGCTCGGTCCTTTCCGGCCCGCGTCGCCGCCCCCCCCACCGGGTTTCCCCCGGTCTTTTGCTGGCCTGCGCCTGGGAGCTGGCGCCACTGTGCGTTCCTCCGCTGCCGCCGTCTCGCTCCGGCTAATGTGCTCCTCCAATGATCTGGCGTGTTTCTACATGCTCCTGCTTGCACTTCAGCGCTGGCTTTTGGCCCGCTGGTAATTATCTGGTCTCCCCTTGCTTGGTTCGCCCGCCCTCTGTTTTGTGCCCTTCTTAATTGTCTGGCGTGTTCACTCGTGCTCTCGCTTGCACCTCGGCGCTGGCTTCTGGCCCGCCGGTAATTATCTGGCGTGTCACCTCATGCTCGATATTTTCCGCTCTGTGGAATCGTCCTTGGAGCCGCAGATCAAAAAGTATCCCCACCAGCCCATTCAGATTCGTTGCCCATGAGAGCTGACGGGAAATGGGGGTATTAGACACGTGTTGTGAACCAAAGCGGGCAACCACGAGGGCGAGGGACGAGGGCGGGCGGGGGGTAGAACGAGGATGCGGAAGAAAAGGACGAGGACGAACATGATGACGAGCAGGACGAGGACGAGGAGGAGGGCTTGGATGATGAGTTGAGGGCGGACGAGGATGAGGGTGAGGACTCGGACGGAGGGCGGGAAGTACGACGAGGATGCCGAGCAGGAGGGGGAGGCTGAGAAGGCAGAGGAGGAGGAGGAGGAGGAGGAGGAGGAGGAGGAGGAGGAGGAGGAGGAG